TATAGGAATAGGAAAGGTTGAGCAATCAGCTGCGGTTTCCATCGTTATCAAGGACAGAGCTAGGAAAGTCTGTAGGGGTGGGCTACTTTTCTTTTTCTGTTCGAGGTAGGCTAATTTTATAAAAGAAGGTTGTGCTAGTTTCAAACTAGACAACTTTGGCTTATAAAGCTACATGCTATTTTTTGAAATTCCAAAATTTACCCTAGGCTATAGCCCACCCCAGCTTATTCTACCTCCGCCCTTGATTGTTATCTACTCTTCAGTATGTACAAGGCTACAAGCCATTGTTTTTTACTGGTCTCACCATGAATGCTCCTATATATCTTTCCCTAATGAGAGGAGCTTTAATCTTATGGTACTTTAGGTCTTTGTTGTCCGGGATTTGATGTTCTTCTTTTTCATGTTACTTGTATCAATTTCTTTACTAGTAAAATTTGGGTCTCTTGTAAAAAAAGGGAAATGATTATACTATGCTCTGTAATGGAATTCTAGTCTTTGGACAATTTTGTCTTTTCAAGTATGTCCAAGAAATCTTAGAACTTATGTGAGTCGGAAACCTTGATTGCAGATTTCATGGATGGAGAAGTTTGTTCGGAAAGGGACTGAGATTACTGCTCCAGTACCAATGGCTCCTCCTGGAACTACCGGACTTGGAGGCTTTGAAGTTCCTTCGTCCAAAGGAGGTACTCTGCGTTCTGATGCAAGTGCTTTAAACATTGGGGTCCTACATCTGGTACCCACGTTGGAAGTCTTTCCATTATTGGCGGACCCAAAAACGTAAGTCAACTTCTAGATTTTTATTGATCACTACCCTGCGAATATAGTTGCTGGGACCTAGATTAGATGGTAACTATACCTCTCTGATAGAGTGGAGTTCCAAGATCACCCTTCCCGTATGTCCTATCCTCACAAAGCTTGTACTTTTCGGAACTTCGACAGTTTCACTCAGTGTGTTGGTATCCTTTACAATGATACAAGTGAGACACTAATATGTTTGGTACAGCCGTGGGGCACGTCTTTTACCAGGATCTGATGATTGGTGCTGAGTTCTTACACTATTTTGGTTTTTGATGTTACAGGTATGAGCCTAACACTATTGATCTCTCAGATCCCGGCGAGTTAGAGTGAGTACATGCTGTTAGTTTTCTTTTTGTTTGGAAATCCTTAAGAATCCATCTGCACAACGCTAGTAACTATAATGTGTTATTTGAAATTGTTGATGTCCAAATTTATGAATGATTAGTTTGTTATGGGTAATTTGAGTGTCTTTTGTGCTATAGGTACTGGTTCACTGTGCTGTCAGAGCATCTACCAGACCTCGTTGATAAGGTAAACATAGCATCAGCTAGAGCATCTGTTTCATAGAACTGTATTTTTTTCAGAGTCTAAAGTTTTATAGGCAACCGGATGTCCGTCAGTTATAGTTAAATGTGGAAAATATTGAAAAGTTCACTTTCTCTTTGGTTTTTGTTTTTGCGGTTTTGCCTTTCCATTTTGTTAGTGCTCATTGTGTATTTAGAATCTTCCTTGATAATATTAATGCAAACAGAAATTCAGATTGGATACAATTTCATTATTGATTTATGACTTTGAGAGGTTGATGTGAATATGTTAGGCAGTGGCAAGTGAAGGTGGAACGGATGATGCTAAAAGAAGGGGCGATGCTTTTGCTCGTGCTTTTTCTGCTCACTTGGCACGGTATCTATGCTATGAGAAATTGTATCTAATATTTGTATTATATAACATTCTGGTCTGTTATAAAGCTTGAAACTCCTGGTTCTGTGTGTCATACATGTGCGTACAAGTTTGTAATGCTATCATGTATCCCGTCTGAAACTTTTTTTTTCCTAAAATAATATGTTCTTGGAGATCAAAGAGATTTTTATTTGTACTTATTCCATTTAACATCTTCCAACTGGCTGTATAGGTTGATGGAGGAGCCTGCTGCATATGGAAAGTTAGGGTTGGTGAATCTATTGGAACTAAGAGAAGAATGCTTGAGGGAGTTCCAATTTGTTGACGCGTATAGAAGTATAAAACAAAGGTAAAAGAAAATCTTTAAATAGTGTAAAAGAAGGTCTTGCCTAATGAAAGTCGTTGTTTCATATACTTAACTCATAGTGATTCTAACCCTCTCCTGGTTTACGAATGCAACAGGGAAAATGAGGCATCACTTGCTGTTTTAGCCGATCTGCTGATGGAGCTTGATAGTATGAGTGAGGTACAATTCCCGTTCTTCATTCAATATGGTGGTTACCAAATGCCATTATGGTATCAGTTGATATTTATCCGATTCATCTTTCATTCGGTCTTTGCAAAAGTTTAAAGAGTATGGAAGCCTACTCTATTATGGTTGAACTGTGGTAAATATAAATTATTGTGGGCACCTCGCTACATTTTCGGACAGTTTAGTTTGTTCCTTCCAGCACAGTTGAGCCATTCCAACTGGCACTTTTTGAACCGTTGTTCTGATCATTTGAAATCTTCTTAATTTACAGGAAGCAAGACTACTTACCCTTATTGAAGGTGTCCTTGCTGCAAACATTTTCGACTGGGGATCCCGTGCCTGCGTGGATCTCTATCACAAAGGAACGATTATTGAAATTTATAGAATGAGCCGCAATAAGATGCAAAGACCTTGGCGCGTAAGTGGATTCAAAACAAAGTTCCCATGTCCTTTCAGTTGTTTTAAATTAATTGCCAATTGGGTATTCGAATGTAAAAGAGCTGTTAATCTTTATGCAGGTGGATGACTTTGATGTTTTCAAAGAGAGAATGTTAGGATCTGGAGATACAAAACCTCGTCCGCATAAAAGAGCTTTGCTATTTGTGGATAACTCGGGTGCTGACGTTATTCTAGGAATGCTGCCCCTAGCACGGGAACTTCTCCGACGTGGAACGGAAGTAAGTTTATTGCTTCCCAAGGCTCATTCCGTAATCCGTATCTAATTAAGTTATGCAATGAAAATGCCGTAGTAAGATTGATTTTGCAGGTTGTTTTGGTTGCCAACTCCCTTCCGGCTCTAAATGATGCAACTGCAATGGAGCTTCCTGAAATTGTTGCTGAAGCTGCCAAGGTCAGTCCACAAGCATGATTAAGTCTTTTAACCTTTCTTTCGTACATATAAAATGACGAGGGAAAAAGAAACTGATTCTTCTAGTCAACAGCACTGTGACATTCTTCGCAGAGCTGCTGAAGCGGGAGGTTTACTTGTCGATGCAATGGTTAGCTCTCTAGATGGTTCCAAGGGAAATTCATCTTCAGTTCCGTTAATGGTTGTTGAGAATGGTTGCGGCAGTCCTTGTATAGACTTACGGCAGGTTAGCTCTGAGCTAGCCGCTGCTGCAAAAGAGGCCGATTTGGTATGATCCTTGTTCAAACTACTAAAACCATTGTCAAGCATTACTCATAACATGATAAACACCCGAAGAAAAAAACAGAATGAGTTAGAAAAACTCTTCGAATCATTCTATTGACTGAATACTATTCATGCAGGTTATCTTGGAAGGGATGGGCAGGGCTCTTCATACCAACCTTAATGCGAAGTTTAAATGTGATGCGTTAAAGGTGAGGATTTCAATGGTTGTCGGTATTAACCTTGGTGTGATGTTTCCGTTGGAGATAGCGAACCAAGTGAACTTTGATCCAACCTGCAATAGCATTCTACGGTTTTCTTTTACACTCCAATAACAAGAACGACTTCTTTTGCAGCTTGCAATGGTGAAGAATCAAAGGCTGGCCCAAAAACTGATCCAAGGCAACATATACGACTGTGTTTGCAGATACGAACCAGTAAGTTAAAAGCTCCGGTTCACATCATCTTGTAGCGTCTGGTTGTAAGCCACGGGAGGTCTCGATCTTAGGATACAACCGCTCGATACAACAACGATTAAAGACTATGATTGTATGCAGATTTACAAGGACCCCGATTCAGTGGCGGGGTTAATGGTTCTCTTCTTTGTATGTTATGTATTTGTTCATTGGCATCCGAAAGGATGCGGCTTTTCGCTTGTGCAATCAAAATTGAAACAAAATAATGTCGTCGACAAAGCTAAATTACGAAGAAAAAGAATCGAAATCGTCACCAATGGTTATATACTGCGACCAACTAGTTTATATCTTGGAACTTTTTTTCTGATTACGTAAAATCATTTGTGAAGGTTATACTCCGACTATACTCCTATCATTTTTTTTATCAAATTTACGAGATGCTTAACCATAGTTCGTTTTTACGACTTGTGATTGGAAATTCTCCTTTGATTTCTCTTAGAACATTTTCTTTTATCAATGTGAATTTGCGTTAAGTTACAGGATGGACTAATCATAATAATTAGCTATTGAATTCTTATCCTTGTGAATTTAAATGGTTCTAGTTGAGTAATCTCATTGATGTTTGAAGATATTCGAGAAGAAAATTACTTTGGAGGCTAATTTGTTGATGTTAAGCTACTTTACGAAATAAATGGGTCAAACAGTAATGTTGTCGTCTTTATTTAAACGTGTGTTATGTGAGTTAACTATGATAATGTGTTCTTTCTACTACCCATTAGTGATAATTAGTCTTCCTTTCATGCAACCGTACGAGGCAATAACATACTTTTAATCTTTGAATCCAACGATACGTCAAAACAGAGTCAATCTCTAAAAAATTACGGAATAAATATACATCATGCTAAAGGAGACTCAAATCTAGCAAAAGTTTAGTTAGTCAGTACTATAGTCTGATGATATTACTCTTCGTTTAGAAGTGAGAGCTCTTAAGTTCGAATCTCGTGGATAATGAATTCGATATTAAATTAAGTTGACTATTACGTAACTTAACCGAATTCCTCCTTTATATACTAAAAAAATCTAACAAAAGTCTAGAGTGCTTAGGTTCTCTCGTGTACTAGGAGGACGTGCAAGCCACAAAAACCACCTTTAAATACCGACATTTTGCTACAACACAGCCGAGAGCGACTCTCTCCCTCACTCACTCACTCACTCACTCACTCACACACACACACACACACACACACTCTCTCTCTCTCTCTCTCTCTCTCTCTCCCCCTCTCACACACACACACATTCAGTTCGAAACGCATCTTTCGCCTCTTCGGCCTTTTCCCTACAAATTCCTCAAAACTTGTAACTCTCAAGGATCTCACTAGCCGACCCACCATTCCAGCTTAGGGTTCTTCTCGGATCACACAGGCTCAGCACTTATGGAACAATCATACATTTTTCTTGAGGTAATTTCATTGTTTACTCTTCTGTAATTTCATTCTGGTAATTATGGTTCTTAAATTTTAATTTTTTAGAGAAGAAATTTATTTAATATTTAGGTCTTTGCTATCATTCTGCCCTAAATTTTTTTTTTTTTTTTTTTTTTGGGTGCTGAATTTTTTTAGTGATGATAACAAAGCTTTGTTCTTTTTTGTTTATTTTCGTTTTTTTCTTCATTAGGTTTGATGTTGGGAAAAATCGTTGGACTTGTTAGGAATTTGTAGACAATGGAGAGGCCAAAGACCCCAGAAACCCTAGAAGATCAAAACCCTAGTGGTAAAACCCTAGAAGGGGCATCTGAGTTGTTAGGGTGGAGTGAGAACTGTATTGGGTTGGAGTCATTTCCTGGAATTTTGGGAGGTAGTGGAGAAGGAGTTGGTGTTACTGGTAATGATGCGGGACTTGGTTATGTGGAAGGGGTGACTCAAGCGGTGGAAGCCGAGAAAGGAGTCCTGGATGGTAATAAAGGAGAGGATTTGGGATTGTTGGGTATGGAGGCAGTTTCTGGTGTGTTTAATAGTTGCATGAATGGTGTTGGGGCTGAGGAGGTTTGTTGGCTTAATGGTGAGGTTGGTGGGGAAAATAAGGCTCAAATGGGCTCCCAAAGGTTGCCATCCGAAATGGGAAATGACGTTCAGATGGATTTTGCGGAGCCAGAGTCAGATGGGAACGGGAACTTAGAGGATTTGGGTGGTAATGAGGATGAAGAGGGTGGAGTTGATGTGGAAAGCGATGCTCAAATGGGTTCCCAACAGTCCCTATCAGATAATGGAAATGACATGCAGACGGATTTTGCGGAGCCACAGTCAGATGGGAACGGGAACTTTGAGGATTTGGGTGGTAATGATAATGAAGAGGGTGGAGTTGATGTGGAAAGCGATGCTCAAATGGGTTCCCAACGGTTGCCATCAGATAAGGGAAATGACGTTCAGATGGATTTTGCGGGGCCACAGTCAGATGGGAACAGGAACCTTGAGGATTTGGGTGGTAATGAGCATGAAGAGGGTGGAGTTGATGTGGAAAATGATGCTCAAATGGGTTCCCAATGGTCGCCATCAGATAAGGGAAATGATGTTCAGATGGATGTTTTGAAGCCAGAGTCAGATGGGAACGGGAACTTAGAGGACTTGGGTGGTACTGATAATGAGGAGGATGGAGTTGAGAAGATTGCTGATGATGATGATGATGGTATGAATGAAGGAAAAACATTGGGATTGAATGGGATTGACTCAGTTGGGGTTGACTCATCTAGCAAGAAGATAGAAGTTTCGGATGATGGTATATCACTGTTCGTGGATTTTAGTGGTCATCCACCAGATGATCTTCAGGTGGCAAGTTGTCCTGGATTTGCAGGTACAGAAACTGTAGAAGAATTTGGACATGATGAACAGGAGAAGGATTTTGATTATCAAGGCTATGGTTTTTCTGCGGGTGACATTGTATGGATTAAAACCAAAACCCAGACATGGTGGCCTGGTAAAATATATGATCCAGTATATGCGTCGAAGTTTGGTGCCAGTGGGGATCCAGGGGGCTGTCTACTAGTTGGATATTTTGGGATGAGTCATGTAGCATGGTGCCATCCATACCAACTAAAACCTTTTCGTGAGTACTTTGAGCAGATGTCGGGGCAAAGCAAGGCTAGAATATTCCTTGGAGCTGTTGAGAAAGCACTCGAAGAGTTTGGTCGGCTTGTAAAATTGAATATGACTTGTTTGTGTGTTTTGAAAGAAAACCACCTGTCAGCCAGTGATGCAGAATCTATCAAAGGAATTCCCATGCCTGACCGCAAATCTGGCAAACTCGGTGAATTTTCAGTTGATCATTTTAATTCTGCAGAGTTTCTTGCGCATCTCAAAAATCTTGCACTGGTTGTTTCCATGGGTGGCACACTTGATTTTGTTGTCAAACGAAATCAATTATCAGCCTTCTACCGTTCCATAGGGCACAGCCAGCTGCCTATGCATCTACTCTGGGAAACAAATGATGCTGAAGATGGTGCTGATTGCAAGTCAATGGCTAAACGTAATGTCGACATTTGGGTTGGATATGGAGATACTGAGCTAGATGAAATGTTTTTGAAAAGCACACCATTAAATAACTCTCAGAAGGATGAAAGAAATGAAGTGTTAGACAAGGTTTTTGATGGAGACAATATTGCTGATGAAGGTTTCATCTCAGGTTCAAAATTGAGGAGGAGAAAGGTGAAGAGGGATTCTGACTTTGAATATGGTGATGTTGGAAATGAGGGAATGACTGAAAAAGGCATCGAATCAAGAGAACGGAAGAAGCAGGTACTTGTCTTACCCGTACATAAACTTGAGACAGAAGGGATTGCCTGCTGAAATGGATGATGAGGGAGTGGCTGCAAATATTGATGCCAGCCGGTCTAGTGGGTCGCCATCTAATTTTAAATTTACTGGTGAGAAGTTCTGGAGAAAGTGGTATAAAAGGCTTACAGGTGAAAGTAACATATCCGGTGACCCAAACTTAATAAATGCATCTTCTGCTGAGTTGCTTTCTGAAATCTACTCTACAGCTGTCAACTGCCTCTATCCGAACGAAAATAAGACATTTGATTCAGTTGCCTGGTTTGTTTCTAGATTCAGGATTTCGGTATTTCATGATGAATCTATTTGTAAAGCCTATCGTAACAATATGGTTGGTCAGGAAGATGCTAACCCCAACCTGTTGGGATATAGCGGTCAGAACGAGGCAAAATCTGAACCAAAGAAAAGGAGGAGAAAGTCTAAGTTGAAGCATCCAGGGGGCGAAGACACTGCCAGCATGCCAAATCTAGTTCAAAGCACTTCAACTGCTACAAAGAAAAGGGGACGACCAAATCTGGGAAGATTGAAGACTAAATCCCTTTCTGGACTGTCAGATGTGAATATTGGCATCACCCCTGATAGCTTTTTGGTGCAAGAGTCGTTGGACGTACACCCTCTCATGCCCTGTGGTAAGCAAAAGAATAGAAAGATCGATGATGTAGCAAGTCCCGTGTGTCTGCAGAATAAACAAACTACAGGAATTCCAGATTTAAATGGGAACAATCTTCTACCTGGCCTTCTTGGTGATGATCAACAGGCTATTGGCACTGCTGCTTCTGAAGGTAAAGTTTTGTTAGAAAATAGGTTAGGGAGTGAAACGGCTTCAGAGCATTTGAAGTCTAATATCCCTGCTGCCTTTGTAGATGTGAATGTAAAAAATATGAAACCTGGTTCTTTGGTTGTAGATCTGCGGGTTTCTCCTCAAGCTTTGTCATGCCTGGACCCCAAACGGAATACTGGCTTACTCTCAGCTGAAACTAGGCCTGCACAGAGAAAGAGAAAGAGAAAGGAGAAAGCAGAACAAAAGCTTCCGGCTGATGGTATTCCAGATTTGAATGGAAGTAGTGCTGAATGCAACTTATTGGGAAAGGCATGTCAAGAGTTTAGTGGCCTGACGCCTCCAATTAAACCAGAGCGGAAGAGGAGGAGGAGAAAAGGAGAAGCTACTGCTATGCAGCGGAAACTGGATGTGAATAATGGTAAAGCTCAGATTAATGATAAGGCTCTGGCAACTGCTCTTATGTTGAACTTTTCCCCAGGAGTAGCAATGCCTTCAAAAGATGATTTGATTTCAACATTTTGTCGGTTCGGACCTTTGAAGGAGTCGGAGACACAGATGTTGAAAGATCCTGGTAGTGCCCAGGTTGTATTCATGGAAAATGCTGATGCTGGGGAAGCACTTCGGAGTCTAGAGAAGGACAACCCTTTCGGAGGAAACCTCGTTAGTTACAAGCTCTTCCATCTTCCATCTGTGTCCAGGGTTTTAGAACCAGGTTGGTCTCTCCCCACAGGTCTAGCCTCTCCAAGTTTGCCTGAAAAGGCATCTCGCCTCGACTTCATAAGGCAGAATCTTCAGATGATGACATCAATGCTGGAGAACTCAGGAGACAATCTTTCTCCGGAGATGCGAGCAAAGCTGGAGTGTGAAATTAAGGCCCTCCTGCAGAAGGTGAGCTCCATGACTGGTTCTTCTTCCTCTTCTTAATTGGAATTGAAGGTTTTGGAAGTCTTATATGCGTTGTCTGTAAATGTAGGGAGTGACTCCTTCGGGCAGGCTCTGTAGGTGAATTAATGTTAGAATTGGAACCTTTGTAATTTATTGCATGCAAGGGCATAGGCAGATGACCTATTGCATTCAAACCTCTATGTATCTCTAGTAATTCGGCTTTTCATTATTTCATCTCTCCCTCTCTCTCTCCCTCCCTCCCTCCCTTTCGTATTATTGTTATTTCATCACTCGGTTCCTTCTAGTAATTCGGTTTTTCGTTGTATAGATTTTCTTATGGTTGTGTTTGGGGGGGTTCTTGTTTGTGTTTGGGCTGCAAAGTGAATGAAGCTGAATTTAAAACAATGATGAGTTACTTCACACGGGTCGGACGATTTGGTTTTCCTGTTTTGGACCGGTTTGTTTTTGGTTTTGAACGAAACAGGTCGGACCATTAGGTTTTTCTGTTTAGACCGTTATCTTTCAGTTTCAGCCTGGCCGGAGTTCTGGTTTTCAGTGGCGGCGGCAGAGGACTGGCTCCCACGCCGGACGTTCAAAATAGTCGGGCAGTGTTTCAATCTCCAAAACAGAGCTGGAAAACTTATTTCAAACCAAGCTTTTGCAGAAGAGTCACAAAATTATTGCTTCATATCAAATTTGCATTCACAACAGAAAATTCATATTCGAAAATCGCGAACAACTTTCTGGAGATCATGAAACCCGATTGAACAGAAACAACAATGCAAATCGTTTCAGGAACACAATAAAACAACTTCGAATGCTACTCCATGACGGCAACTCCTCCAGCCGTCTTTATTTTCTCAATTATGTCACTTGCTTCCTCTTTGGTAACCCCTTGTTTAAGCACACAAGGTACCTTCTCGACGAGATCTTTAGCCTCCTTCAATCCCAGACTGGTAAATGTCCTCACTTCCTTGATCACCTTGATTTTTGCAGCGGCATCGAACTTCTCCAATTTCACATCAAAAGCCGTTTTCTCCACCTTCTTTTCCTCGGCCTTTGAACCACCAGCCGCCCCTCCCTGTGAACCCAAGTCCAAGCCTTCTGTCGATATTGGTTGCAGCTTCGGATGCCTTAGCCTCTCAGCTAGAGTAGGACCAAGCTGGCGCCGTTCTTCAGTGGCCAGTGCTGCAATTCGCTCGGCAAGCTGAACGATTTTATCTGAAGGTGGAGGTCTAGGGCCGTACGGGTCATAGAATACCGGATATTTGTACTTTTTTGGCTTGGCATTGGGGTCCCGGGGCACAAAATCAGGTTGGAAGCAACGAAACTGCAAAGGACCAGTTGTTTCAGGGAGAGTGGGACGGGCACGAAAAGATCTGGCAACTGCAATGAGCCTCATGGTTCTTTTTGGATCAGTGGAAAAATTGCCTCATAGAATGAAAGAGAACTGAAAAGGCTGTTATCTGCATTAACCAAGTTGCACCATCGGGTTTATATAGCACAATCTGAACCAAATGGAAAATGTCGAGAAGTCGCTTGTCTGGAGGAAAATAAAAACAGAAGAAACTTCAATTAGCAAAAGGAGGAACATTCCTTATCATTGTAAGTGTTACGAATGCATCACCGGTCCTTCTGCAGACTGATGAAGTCTACAGCTTCAGGATCATGTTAAATGTCAATGTACATATGTAACAAAAAAACAAAAAAAACAACAACAACGAGAGAATTAAAATTAATGGAGAATTCAAAGGGGCATTTCCACAAACGTGTGGCGTGCAATGACAATGGCTCGTAGAAAACAAACAATTTACCAGAAAATAATACTCAAAAGCTATCAAATTTAAAAAACTAACACAATATTTAGCAATCCCATTAGCTCAAAAATCCCGCCCAAATCGTTTCACACAAAATTTACCCTTTTTTACTACAAACTCGTAATATGGTTCTGGGTTTCTCATAAAACTCAAAAACCTCCATGGAAGAAAACAAAAGCATCTGAATTCAACAAAACCAAAGGATATTCCAAAGCATAGGAATGATTTAAGAGAAACCCACAAGGAAGAAACTCACCGTAGCTTTATAAGTGCGAGCGAAAACAGCCGCCAACTCCAGGAGAGCGAAATGGGGCAGAGAAAGAGTGGAACAGTGTATATGGTTCGGTTCGGGTTACTCTTGGCCCAACTAAATCTGAAGATGGATTTGCCTAATTGTGCCCAAGGTTTCTGGGCTGGTGGACACAATAGTTTATTCCTAGACCCAATTCTGGGGCCCCAAGACTCCCAACCCAATTAAGAAAACCTACCCATTTAAGACTTGAGGCTAATCTCGAGATTCGAATCCACGACCTGAGGTGTGTGGCTAAACACTTTTAATCGACTGAGCTACAAGTCCTCTTATGCCCGATGGCCAAGTATAGAAGAACATCAAAAGTAAAGGAATGGGTAATATTTTTGGAAACGTGAGACTTGTCGTGGTCAACGGTGGCAGATATAATCTTAAGAAGGAATCTAGTTAGAACGCTGTTATTTGGAGCATATTTATTGATTTCGTCGTTGACTGCATCTCTAATACAAGTAATGTGAGCCAAATAACATTATTCTTGTCTTATATATTTATAAATTTACGAATGTATTAGTGTCGAGCGCATTGCATGCCGCACCTAACTTTTTGCCTACATAACTATATTATATATACCACGACAAGGCTTTTACAAAATAAACCTTCTTCAATTATTCAATTCAAGTCTGATCCATAGGGCAAAAAATATAAATAAAAAACATTAATTATCAAGTAAACTTAGGAGTTTTTTCTCTTTTATAATGTCAATTAGTAGCTTTGTTTGTTCTACTATGTTTTCTTACAAGTTGTGCAAAAAATTTCTTCTCCTTCCATGTCTATTTTCTTACACCAACAATGGGGTCCTCATGGCATGGAAGAACTCAAACTCAAAGATTAAATAGTAAGTTTTGCTTTCACTGAAAACTCTGGTTTGCTCTCCTTTTATGTCTCAACCATTCCCAACCAGAAAGGCAGTTTACAACACTTTATAACTTAAACACACTCCAATCTCCATCGACTTGAGATATTTTTCAGTGTGCTGAACACACGGCTCGATACATCATGTGTAATAATACGATTGGTTAAAAATTCAACTATTTTAATATGACACTTGGTGTGCCAAATTGAAAATTTTCTAACATCGACCATGGAGACAAATTGCACATGAAAAAGAGATAATTAAGACTACTGATTAAGTACTAAATAACACATAATCTATATTTAATTAAACTTTTAGACCATAAAGAAACACCACTATATCTTCCTCGGTATTACAACAAATCCTGGACCTTTGAATCGTCTTGCACTTGCAGCCAATGAGTACAACAAATTGGAAGAAAGACTAAAGACAAAAAAGAAAGAAACAAAATAATAATAATAATACAACAAAAACCAATCATATCTTGCAGCCAAATGCAGTACTCAGTTCTGGACTCTCCATGCTCCCATTCACACACTCTTTGTTAAGTCAATAAAGATGAAAGCAATGCCACCTCCATACATAACCACTCCCCAACCCAACCACCCCACAGAAAGGAAAAACACGAGGAAATTAAACCGTTTTTCTAAAAGACGTACATTATCTTGAGAATCGGCAATGTGATATTTTGGCACCTATATGCATATATGCATGTATTTGATGTCGACTCATCACATACATGCATAGAGAACTGGCAGTGCATGTAGTCATAGTAGTAGTAAATAACCTACGGATCTAAATGCAGATGATTTATAATTAATTGAAGTCACTAATCACACCTAATTACGTAATTAGACTAATGGATTTGTTGTGGAGGGGGCATAACTGTTCATCACATTGCTCCATGATCCTAGGCCATTGAGGTACCCAAATGAGTCCTTTCCAAGGTCAGAGCAACCAGCTTGGTCTTGCCACTCAAGTGATAAGAGCTTCGTGTTTGGTTTCACATCCATTGCATTAATTTGATGATGATCCTCATGATTTGCTTGATCATACGGCAACATTAACCTCTGGCAACTGTCCATGAAATTACCATTCTGCCCATCAATTGATGACATCCCAAATGGAGATGAGCAAATGCCATGAAAGCTTGACTGATGTTCTAATCCATGACTAACTCCACCCATATTATTTCCATATCCACCCATCATACCCAAATCAGCACCACCCCCCATGAAATCATAGTTCCTGGCATTCCCCACTATAGCCTCCAACTTGCTCTCCATGAAATCAATAGGTCTAGGGTTACTATTGTCCATGAAGCTACTAGGGTTCATATTACTTCCAAGCATCAAGTTATTGAGGTGTGAGAACTGCATCTGATCGGGAAAAGAAAGGTGGAGATCAGTTGGGATGTGAGATATCGACGACGAAGATGATCCAGGGTGGTGGTGTTGGTTCATCAACGATGAAGGGCTCTGATCATTGGGTTTCTTGGAAGAAACTTTCTTGTTCTTTCTACACCCGCCGCCGACGGGGATGTTTCTGAGCGTCCCGCCTTTGGTCCAGTACCTTCTGCAGGTCTTGCAAAAGTACCTAGGTTGGGAGAGGCTGTAGTTGTTGTAGTAGCAAAACTTGGTGTGGGTGGAATCGCACCTAGGGCACTTGAGGGCTTGTTCATGCTGGGGCCTCAGCCTCCGCTCGACCAACGGCCTCGAGCACGTTAACATGTCACCGGATAACGGCGAGGACGAGTCCATCGGAGAGTCCTCGCGAATCGTTCCCTGCAGACATGGAAAGGAATTTAGGAGATTGCGTCAGAAAATATTATTTTTGTACTCCATCACTTAATAATTTTAGGGCGATACACACTCTTTGTCCTTCCGCTGCATATCAAATCAAGCCAATATAAAGCTAGCTAGAAAGTACTACTAACATTTAGTGAAAATAGCTTCAAGAAAATTGGAAACTTGAGGGGAAAAAAAAAATAAACGGCATAGTCGAAACTACTCTACTTTCATCAAATTATTGTTCACATTATGCTCATATTTATGAATTCAATAAAAATTCTGATGGGAATTTTTTTTCCCTGTATGACGTTACTTTGTTTTTAGGTTATCAATGAGAGTTTCGATATTACCCTATCCACATTTCCCAACTAGCTAAAAATTACATACTTATTTGGTTATGAATGTGGTTATCTCATCTCATCACTAGCTAAAATAATAGCATTTTCCATGGCATTACAGCGCTGTCTATAAGATACTTTGGTCCTTAAATCCTAGGAAAATGTATATTAGTTATTCTGCTAGCTAATATATATTAGGCGCTTTCAATATATTGCATTTTCAGGTGCGAATTCATGATGAACTGAGGATGGAGCTAATGGTCACATAATATAAATTAAACTAAATTAAAACAAAAATAAAAACAGAACAGAAATAAACAAATTGGTGATGATGAAGTACAACGTACCTGTAGCCAGTCAGATGAATCCATGCAAACTTGCAGAGAATTATGACCCATCAAACAAAACTAACCGAACCCAGATGAGAGAGAGAGAGAGAGTGAGAGTGAGAGTCAAAACAGAAGCAACAATTTTAACCAAAGCTTTTCCTTCGTACACACTTCATTTCCTTAGCTCCCTCCAGTTCCACTAAGCGAGAGAGAGAGAGAGAGAGAGAGAGAGAGAGAGAGAGAGAGAGAGAGAGAGAACAAGTATGTTAATGAAGGAAAGAGCTACTGAGGGAATGAAAGTAGCTAAGTGATGGGAAGAGGAAGGTTCTTATTGTGTGGGAGGGGTTGGTGTTGGAACTATATAACAAGAAGAAGAAGCCACAAGAAAAGGCGAGTGTGTGTTTGAGTAGAGCCGCTGAGCTTTCTAACCCTACACACACTCTCTCACTCGGCAAGGATATGTAAACACCGTCGGTGGCAGCCCCAGTGGCCCCTACTCTGTCTGCACTCGGACCAACACTGGCCCCACGCCTTACCTCACCTTGACTGAAAGCTTTCCTTCACAACGAACGGCCCTGATGCCATCATGGATTTTAGGATTTGACAGCTTAGGCCGTTGATGTCATAGTCTCATACGTCAGAGATAACGGCGTGGCCGTAACACTTGAACGATCGTCAGTTTATGTGACATGACAGAAGCTGAGAGACTGAGAATATTTGGGTCCTAGATAAAGAAGGATACCGAAAGAGCACTCCACTTGCGGGCCCAAACGTGTGGGTCCCATTCGCCCTCTTTGTACAAGCAAAGGATATATTCTCCCGGATTTGGATCCTCTCCGGATCCCCTCCTTGGTATCCGGGGATTAAGACACAAGGACTGTTCATCAAAGATCGTGCGGTTAAAATTAAATACTTTTTACATAAAATGAGACTGTTTTATTTTTAAAAATATATAAATATTTAATTTTGACCGCACGATCTTTGATGAACGGCCCTTGTGCCTTGATCTCTGTGATCCCTGGGAGGGGATCCGAAGAGGATCCAAATCCTTTTCTCCCCACCCTCCCCCTAATCATGTGCGACGTTCTAGTATATGTATATGTCCACTGTTTTCGTAGACTTCGATCGAGTTATCAACTCCAGAAGTCTAAAACAGTTTCATTTCTTGATTAGTCATTCTAATATGTTATCTGATTTGTAAATGTTTGATTTTGAAAATTATTCCTACACTGTTAAGTGAAAGTTTAAACTTTAAAACACCTGCATCTTTTTTTTTTTATGAGTAGATTTATCTTAATTGTGGAAAGACAAACAGATAAGTGTATAGTCTCACTAGTACTACATACCCTAGAAACTAAAAAAGAAGAAATCATTGCCTCTTGTAAAGAAGACGCTGATACGATGTTAGTAAAATAAGTTTAGATTATGTCATAAAACTACTGGACAATATATAGGGCAGTAACTTATTATAAAGATATACAATGTCCCCTCAATGTAAAATCACGTTCTCAATACGGGGGTCAATGAAGCGTCATTTAATTTCACAATATATGAGTCATACTTTCAACACGCTCCGTTACATATGATATCATTTAAGCCTAATATAGATAACTTCATAAAAGAAGTTGTGGTTTCATTACAAAATTAATTGACTGCAAAAGGAAGTAATGATCCATATAAACACAAAGTCCCTTAGCTCCTTTACGTGGGATAAACTCAATAGTTAGACAACCACTAACCATATGCCAACAATACATATATCGATCAATTGCTACATAATGTACGTGTGTGTATTACATTAACTAATATTGTTATAACCCAAATCAAATAACGCTTGGTGCGCTGGTTATGAATCCGGACGAGGGACATTCGAATTGAGCTAGCTCTAATCAATCTAACACACACACACACACATATGTATATGTGACATGCATGCATGCCATGGATGCTGCTCGATCTTGATAACCTTGAGGTTTTGATGGCGTGAGGAAGACACTCAAAATCAATGGGGCCCAAAAGTTCATCTGTCATATGAATGATTAAAGTGGGTTGTGTGCCCACGTTAAATTCCAACGTACACTAACTGTTCTATTCCTATATACAATAGACGGTCAGTGAATCCATCTGATATCTATTTTCTTAATCATTTCATTGTTCTCTCTCAGCAGCTGCTGTATATCTTTTTTATCATTTCAAACGACTACAACTGTACAAATATCCTGGAATCTGATCACACCATCTCATCCCGATCAACTTCATTTTATCATTTTTGCATTGTTTCCTTTTAATTATTTGTTAATAACTTGGTGTATGTTGAACCAGTTAAAGAAACTTTCATAATAACTTTGTGATGAGCTTGCATGCGGGTTTTGAAAGTGAGCAATCATTTTGCTAAAATGTTGAGGGAAGAAGGACCACGTGTCAACTATATACACTATATTAGGGCTTGGATCCAAAACCTATGATATTAATCAAAATTGTTATGTTTGATCCCTTTTGATTTAACTTATTTTGTTGATTCAACAATATGCATTTGATCTAATGAAGCTATTTAGTGAGTTTTACAAACCTTGTAGCTATAAATTATCACTGCTAATTGTCAAAAGAGGATCAAATCTCATGCAAGGGGAGTTGGGGACCAGATCTGGAGATGCATACTAGTTTGAATTAATACGTTGTCTAATCCTTTTTATAAGGTCATGACAGCCTTATACACCCTTAATTAGGCCATCTCCCGCCAAGGGCTATAGGCCACATTTAGTTCTAAAAATGACAAGCTCAGTCCCTAACCAAAGGGTAAAAATGAATCAGGCTAAAAGAATTAGGTTAAGTTTGGCCGCAAGGCAGGCTAAGTTTGGCTCCAAAAAGTAATAAAATATAAAAGGGAATAAAATATAATCCTACAGAGTTGGAGATGAAAAAATTTAAAATAATCTTTAAAATATTAATTTTAGAAGACTAAAACATAGCCAAGAGCTATCTTTAGCCCTTAATGACTGAAGATGGTCTTAGCCTTCATCTCGCAACTATCCATTACGTGCCACTCATATGTCGGTAATTGTGAGAGAGAGATGATGATGATCATTTGTGTCTCACACTACATGAATGACATGCCTAATATATACACGTTTTTAGGGTACGTATATAAATAGTTACGTACATCTAGAATGAGAAAGGGAGAGAGTAAGTTAAAAGGACAAGGATTGTCTGCCCTCCTTATTCCCGTGCCTTCCCATATCCTCCTGTTTGTGTGATCACGGTTAAATCACGTCAACATTTTATATTACTATTCATTTTTGTCTTATTATCTCTATAAAAAAACAATATAAAATGTTGACGTGTCTTAACCGTGACCACACAAAACAGGAGAGCACGAGAACAAGGAGGGCAGACAATCCTTGTCCAAGTTAAAACCGTAGCTAGGGTCACTCTTTTTCAAGGCAGGATTGAACTATACTAAAGTGCACGTAAATTAATAACATATATATATATATATACACACATATATCTTATAGCTAGCTCCTATACTTATATATCAACTTTATCTACATTATCAGGTTGCAGATTCGGCATGCTGTCATTCATGAAACACGTTTTAGGGCAATTTAAGCATCGACCATATTACTACAAAATTCACCGAGTATTAACTAGGATACTGCTTTTTTTTCTTCAGCATGGCACATGCTGTGCACTACTGGGGCATGCATGCTTTGCATATTCGATAGCAAAGAATCCCCTATATATATAGAGACGGATCACTTTCAAAGCATGTCCCTTTAATTCATTAACTTAATATTAACAACAGGTCGATGCGGAAATCTTGAGCTTCAAGCTTCTGAAAACCTGTCCCGTAATCTTATCTCTTTATGCATATTTTGCTTTGTGTTGGATCCTTTTTTCTATATCTTCTCTTCTCTCACTCAAATAAAAGTTTTGCAAAGGACAGTTTGATTCTTAAATTCTTCACATCTTTGTCGATCACTTTTTTTTTTCTAAATCCAATGGGAGAGAAAGTCAATGTTACGTGTTTCTTATTGACACGGTTCAAATTTAAGTTGCTAAAAAATTGCATGGATGTTACAGAATATTTGTCCAAATTTCAAATTCCAGAGTGCATGCCCGTAGAAACATGATATGATACATGTATGAGATGGTGTGTGACTAAAGCATTTGTAGCTAGGGTTAATTTGAGTGGTCCTATCCATCATGATGGTCAAACACACTAAACCTCGTTATGGGTGCAGTCAATCCGGTTCTTTGGGGCCAGAGAATGGAACCTACAGTGAGATATCTGTCAATCCCTATGCCTTATGCTAGCTATGGCACATGTTTGTAATGATGCGCAGGTATTCGAGCAAAAACTAACCCCAACTTGATCTTGGGACCATATAATTGGCCAGAAAAGTTTCATGATGTCACTCTAGGTTATTTGGGTTTTGGTAGTGGTGCTAAATTTAGGGGCTTGGTGTAAAAATCTAAAGTAAGGGTAAGTTCAGTAATGTGATTAAAAAAAAAGAGATATTAGATTATCATTCTTTTATTTTATTGATTAAAATCATATTTCTTTTCAATTTTTGATCAAGGTCATTTGGCATTAATAATATTATTAATTATTGTAATAATAAAATATTTTTTTATTTCTAAATATATTCATTTAATGTTTAAAATGTTACAATTAGTATATTTATATTTATGACTAAATTTTTTTATCATATATTTTTAGTTTTAGTTTGTACCCATTTTTAATTTGTAATTTTTTTAATTGTATCAATTTTCTTTTCAATTTTAATTTATACCCATATATTAATTTCTTTTTGTGCCCATATTTTTTAAAGTTTATTTGTATTTGTACCCATATTTTTTTTTATTTGTACTTTTTATTTTGCTAAATGTACCCATGCTAATTATATGTACCCATTCATGTAAAACTTTTTAATCTTAAAATGTACTCAATCTTAAATATACCAATTTGTTATATGTAAAATGTACCATTTTTTTTATATAAAATCTATTCAATTTTTTTCTAATCCATTTTTAAACTTATATGGGTACATTCATTTTTCTTTGATTTTAAAATGTATCCATGTCAAGTTTAATCGAAGAAATTTACTAATGTTATTAAGCCTAATATCTTTTTATTTTTTGGTGATTTTGAAGAATATACCCATGTTTTGATACAATAATTTTTTTGGTTAATTTTGATGAATGTACCCATGTTTACACACACACACACACACACAATAGTATATTTATATTTTAATATTTTTAATCCCACAAATTATTGTTTTTTATTTAAAATCTCATTTATAT